ATAAATACAATGGGAACAAATTTGTAATCATAAATTGTACCAGTTACAAACTTATAATAATAGTCTAATACAACTAGTATTCTGATATAACAATATAATGATTTTTTTTAAATATTTTAAAAATTAATTTAATGTTAGTAACTTCATGATAAAATATTTATTTTTGTTTGTTAGCAGGTATTGAATGCTTTTTAAAAAAAAAATTAAAATTAAAATATTATGTCATTTTAAAATTATAATCATTTTTAATGTTTTTAGAAATAACAGTATGATATTTAAAATTTTAAAAAACAAACAAATTATTTCAAATAAATTTTTAAAAAATCAAAACTAATCCAAATCATTATAATTATTAGCATTAATATTAATAACAAGTGAAAAAAATTATTATTATTAATATTATTGAAAATAATTATAATATTTAATTTTTTTTAAATAACTTTTTTTCTATTAATATATTGTTAATTATTTATAAATATTATGAAACTAATAAATAATAATATGTAAAAAATATATTAGTTTTTTTTAAATAAATAAATAAAAATCACATATTATTAACATTTAACATAGCAATAAAACCTTAATATATTATTAATAAATAAAACCTTACAAGTTTATTAATTTTATTTTTTTTTGTTTAATTACTATTATTATTGTATTTTTTTAAATTTAATTAATAAATTATTTATAATTTAGTTATTTATAAACAATGAATGGCTAAACTCGGAAAGCGGTAATACATTTGAAACAATAAACCCGTCAACAGAACAATCGATAGCTCGGATACAGTCGGCCGACAATCGGGACATCGATAAGGCCGTCAAAGCCGCCCGACTGGCCTTCAAACGGGTTAGCAAACCCCCCCCCCCTCCCTCCCACCCACCCGGGTATATACTTGAATAATTAATACCATTATTATCTAAAGGGATCAGTTTGGCGTACAATTGACGCCTCCGAAAGAGGTCGACTATTGTATAGATTGGCCGATTTGATAGATAGGGATATCGACTATTTGGTCGCATTGATCACATTGGAAACCGGTTTGGTATATATGTACTCTATGGAAATCCTATCGCTTGTGGTTAAAATTATACGCTATTATGCCGGTTGGTCGGATAAATTTCATGGAAAGACAGTACCGGCCGATGCAGCTAACGGCCAGCAAAAATTGTTGGCCATTACCCGACTCGAACCGATTGGCGTTTGCGGTCAAATACTAACAGTTAAATTAAAACTAATAATCTATTTTTTGTATTAAAGTAATAAACAAAAACAAAAAAACTATTTTATTATGTTTTCAGTGGAATTTAGCACAGTTTTCATTAGCGGTTAAATTGGGTCCCGCATTGGCCACCGGTAATGTTGTTGTCGTTAAACCGGCCGAACAGGTATTTTATATACAGTATATATATATATATATATATATTAATTATAAATAATAAAATAATATAGTTATATTAAAATTTATGAATCAATATATTAATTGTCTTATATTTAAGTCAACTTTAGCTATACTATATGTGGCCAGTTTGATATTGGAGGCCGGTTTTCCGCCCGGTGTTGTCAATATAGTACCCGGTTATGGCCAGACAGCTGGTCGAGCACTGGCCGAACATATGGATGTCGATAAAGTATTTTTCAACGGCTCTACACACGTTGGCCGACTGGTACAGTTGGCTGCCGGCCAGTCAAACGGTAAACGTTTATCGCTGGAAACGGGTAGCAAATCGCCGCTTATTATATTTCCGGACACCGATATCGATAGTGCAGTATTAGAAGCGGTAAACTAAATGATATGAGAAAATTAATTAATTTATTATTAGATATTATTAGATATTATTAGATATTATTAGATATTATTAGATATTATTAGATATTATTAGATATTATTAGATATTATTAGATATTATTAGATATTATTAGATATTATTATTATTAGATATTATTATTATTATTAGATATTATTATTATTATTGTTATGCCGTATTAGAAGCGGTAATTGTAATTGATATCAGAAATTTAATTAAATTAATTAATTAATAATACATATTATTATTATTATTTAAAATAAAAATTAGCACCAGGCAACATTTTATTATCAAGGTCAAACCTGTTGAAAACCGGGCCGTATTTATGTTCACGAATCGATATATAATAAATTTGTCGATAAATCGGTAGAGTTGGCCAACAAATTGGTAGTGTTGGGCAATCTGTACGATCCGTTAACAAAATTTGGTCCACTAATCGATGGCCGACAATATGAAAAAGTAATGTCAATGATAGAGACGGGTGTCCGGGGGGGGGGGGGGGGGGGGGGGGGGGGGGGGGGGGGGGGGGGGGGGGGGGGGGGGGGGGGGGGGGGGGAAGGCGCCCGACTAATGACTGGTGGCAAACGATGGGGTACTCAAGGATATATATTGAGCCCACTGTGTATTATATATTGAATATACTGAAAATATTTCTATATATATATATATTTTCTATAAATTTCTATATATATATATATTTTCTATAAATTTCTATATATATATTTTCTATAAATTTCTATATATATATATTTTCTATAAATTTCTATATATATATATATATATATTCTATAAATTTCTATATATATATTTTTTATAAATTTCTATATATATATTTTTTATAAATTTCTATATATATTATTCAATACATTTCTATATATATTCGATATAATAGTTTTGCCGACATCGAGGACAGTCATACTATAGCCAGGGAGGAAATTTTTGGACCGGTTCAGTGTATAATTAAGTTTAGTACAATCGACGAAGTGATTGATAGGACAAATAACAGGACTACGGTCTGAATGCCGGTGTCTTTACCGATGATATCAACAAAGCACTGGTAGTCGCCAGTGAACTGCAAGTAGGAAAGGTAGCCATCAATATGCACAGTTCGTTTAGAGTGCAGATGCCGTTTGGAGGTTACAAACAATCAGGTTTTGGCCGAGTATTCGGTAAAGACTGTCTACAAGAGTATCTCGAAGTCAAATCGGTAATAAATTTTTTTTAATTTATTTTTTATAAAATGTTTTAATTTACAAATTTTTAATTAATTTAGGTAATCATCAAAATAAACGATAAAAACTTACAAGAATAAATATTTGTAATACTTTGTAATTATTTTAATATATAATTTTAAAATTTATTTATTTAATTATTTATAAATATAATAAATTTTAAAAATTAAAAATATAAATAAAAACATTATAATAACCAAAAAAAATATTGTTTTAAATTTATTAAATTTATTGTATTATTCATCTAGTTACAATGAAAACAATTTTATAATTACTAATTGTACTAGTTACAATAAAATAAATAATTAATTAATTATATTGTAGTTAATTAAATGAGATTATCTTAAAACTTGACTTTGATTTCGACTATTGATATTATATATATATAATTAAATTCTAAATATTATTATTATTATTATAATTAAATAATTATTTTTTTTAAATCTATTAAAATTATTTCCTTACAAATTTTTATCGTTTATTTTGATGATTACCTAAATTATTAAAAAATAAATAAAAAACAAATTTTCTATTTTTAAAATAACATCGAATTTTATTACCGATTTGACTTCGAGATACTCTTGTAGACAGTCTTTACCGAATATTCGGCCAAATCCTGATTGTTTGCAACCGCCAAACGGCATCTGCACTCAAACGAACTGTGCATATTGATGGCTACCTTTCCTACTTGCAGTTCACTGGCGACTACCAGTGCTTTGTTGATATCATCGGTAAAGACACCGGCATTCAGACCGTAGTCACTGTTATTTGTCCTATCAATCACTTCGTCGATTGTACTAAACTTATGTATACTATTGAACCGGTCCAAAAATTTCCTCCCTGGCTATAGTATGACTGTCCTCGATGTCGGCAAAACTATTATATCGAATATATATAGAAATGTATAGAATAATATATATATATATATATAGAAATTTATAGAATATATGTATATATATATATATATATATATAGAAATTTATAGAATATATATATATAGAAATTTATAGAATATATATATATAGAAATATTTTCGGTATATTCAATATATATTACACAGTGGGCTCAATATAGTATCCTTTGAGTACCCCATCGTTTGCCACCAGTCATTAGTCGGGCGCCTTCCCGGACACCCGTCTCTATCATTGACATTACTTTTTCATATTGTCGGCCATCGATTAATGGACCAAATTTTGTTAACGGATCGTACAGATTGCCCAACACTACCAATTTGTTGGCCAACTCTACCGATTTATCGACAAATTTATTGTATATCGATTCGTGAACATAAATACGGCCCGGTTTACAACACAGGTTTGACCTTGATAATAAAATGCTGCCTGGTGCTAATTTATTTTAAATAATAATAATAATATGTATTATTAATTAATTAATTAAATTAAATTTCTGATATCAATTACAATTACCGCTTCTAATACGGCATAACAATAATAATAATATCTAATAATAATAATATCTAATAATAATAATATCTAATAATAATATCTAATAATAATAATATCTAATAATAATAATATCTAATAATAATAATATCTAATAATATCTAATAATATCTAATAATATCTAATAATATCTAATAAAATCTAATAATATCTAATAATATCTAATAATATCTAATAATAAATTAATTAATTTTCTCATATCATTTAGTTTACCGCTTCTAATACTGCACTATCGATATCGGTGTCCGGAAATATAATAAGCGGCGATTTGCTACTCAGCGATGAGCACCACTGATAGCAGCCAACTGGCGCGTGTAGAGCCGTTAAAAAACTGTATCCCGCATCTGTGTTCGGCCAGTGCTCGGCCAGCTGTTTGGCATAACCGAACAACCTCCAATATCAAACTGGCCATATGTATAATAAAGATTATATAAAAAATATAATTATCATAAATTTTATTTTATTCATTATATATATTTATAATATAATACCTGTTC